TTTTCTATGCGGAAAAAATCTCAGATCCAAGGCTCCAGAATTTTTTCTATGCGGAAAAAAATCCCAGAGCCAAGGCTCCAGAATTTTTCCTATGCGGAAAAACCCCAGAGCCAAGGCTCCAGAATTCTTCCTATGCGGAAAAAATCCCAGAGCCAAGGGAAATTTGTATACCCTCCACCAATCTATGGAGGGTATATTAACTTTATTTAACATTCCTTTTGTAACTCCTCGAAAAATTTATAATAGACCATACAAAGTATATATATTCTGGATCAGCGTGAAATTCTAAGACGATGTCCGTCTGTATGTCTGTCTGTCTGTTGTAATCACGATATCTTTCGAACGAATTGCGATAGCAGGTCAAAATTATGCATACCAGCATAGTTTACCAGTAGGCAGGTTAAGTTCGTAAATGGACCAGTTCGTACTACAGCCTATGACAAACATTTTCGTTTGCAGGTCCAGGTCTTCGTATAGCCCCCAATACAACGGCACCTCCGGATATTCGGTTCGTTGTTGATTTTATCGACATTATTCACCGGAATTCTTTCAAATTTGGTGTTTGCAGTTTGAAATGAATACTACAGCCTATGACAGGAAATTGTCTGTGCAGGTCCACGTCTTCGTATAGCCCCATATAACAGTACCTCCCTATATTCGGTATTTTCATGATTTCAGCGGCATTATTTACCGGAATTGTTTCGAATTTGGTATTTGAAGTTCGTAATAGGTTCAACAGCTTATGACAAGAAAATTTTGTAAGCTGGTCCACGTCTTCGTATAGTCTCCATATAACAGTTTTCTTTTATTTTGTAGTTTCCGGAAATTTCTTTCAAATGGTGGAGGGTATTAAAAGTTCGGCCCGGCCGAACTAAGCTGTTTTTTACTTGTTTCTTCTACTTTGTATTTTTTGCTTTTGGTATCATAAAAGTACAACTTCGAAATCGTACAATATATAAAACATTTAAGTATATTTTAGTACGAGTTTCCCATAATTACAAACTTATCTTATGTCTTGCACAAAAAATAACGTACTTGAAGAAATTCTACCTCGAATCTTACAGAATTGAAGCTCTTATTATTTATATTATCTTTAAATCACATCAGATTTCGTTTTTGTTTAAAATAGAATGTAGACAGTAAAATGTAATGTTGCTTGGTAAAGTTCATAAAAACGAATAAAAGTGAAAGCTACTTCAAAAAAATCCAGGTCATTCAAAATGGAACAATACATTGTTTCGTTTTCCCCTGTAAAAGTGGCCATTAACCAATCTAGGCCTTTAACAATTTTACAAATGACCTTCTCAAGAATAAAACTAGAATACCAAAGCCCTCAACTCATAATACAAACATTAACCGAATGACCTTCCTCCCGTTGGCCAATACAAAATAAATAAAAGTAAAATAGACTGCGCTATTCTCAAGACGAAGAAGTCATGTTAATAAACCTAATAAAGCTAAATTTTGCTGTTCTCAGCTGAAAAAAAAAAACATAACACAAATGTTTAACATGAAGGTGATGATCATCGTTTCGCTGATGATGAGATCTGATAAACAGATCTTGTTTGTATTATTTAAGATTGTTGGTCTAATTAGATACAACAACAGCAGAAGCCACAATATCGCATACTACAATTCAAATTAAATGTCTTAATTATGAGAGTGGAATTTTAAGTACCCAAATACATTCACACAAAATGATAATAATAATAATAATAACAACAGCAACAACATTAAGCAAAAAAAAAAAAAAAACAGAATGCGACGAAATGCGAACGCGAAAAAATGTAGGAAGATACCATCGTTCAGATAACATTTGATCTTAACTGTATTTGTCAGATAAGATAGTTTCTAATACTTCTCGTTGGCTGACAAATAGTTAATTGTCCTACGACAAACTGTTATACAAATAGAGGTGATGGAAATCAAGATCACAGTAATTGGGAATTTTGGGGTTTAGAAACCATTTCAAGAAGGAAGTGTTTTTACGTTTCTCCACAGAATTTCTACAATGAGGAAGAACAATGTAGCTTATTTATTTTTAATTCCATTTTCTTCAGCTTTCAATTATTCAAATCATCAAAAAATCAAATAAGATTTTTTTTTTGGAAAATATCCGAATATAGTTGCGAGGTGTATTTCATTTAGTTAATTTGAAATAAACATTATAAGTACCAAAGATTATCACAGACTTAGATAAAGCTTCAAGGTTTCCTTGATACCTTATGTGCATAACAGTTATTCAGGGTCAAAGGTCAACATAGTGTCTGAGATTCTTGAAACCTTTTCCAACCCTTTTCTGCGATGCCCAGGCTAGGATTGTATATTATAATATCTACATATAGTATAAGTGTCCAAAAAATTGAGAGAGAGTTTATGGGAGAGCAATCTTCTTTTGTTAAATAACGGCTGACATAGCAAAGAAAGAAAAAGAAACACAGATGACATATGGTGTCATATACATATAGTGATTCGGCAGTCATTTGGATACCAAAAATCTCTCGGTAAAATAGGGTAAGTGTACCAGTAGTTGGCACTTTTAGGATTTTCGCGTTTTTAATCGCTCACCATTCTGAATGGAACTTTTCAATTATTACAAAGTTAATTTATTCAGATTCGAAATTTTGTATAGTTTTTGCAATAATAAATAAAGTTTTAATAATTTTTTTATTAAATTTCATAAATTTGTAGATTTATTAAAACAATGCTTTTTTGCCAGTAGTCGGCACCATTTACTAATTGTCGGTATGGCATGTTCCAACAGTCGGCATACCAATTTTATTGTAAAAATAATTAATAATAATAACAAATTAATTCATTAAAATATACTATTTTTGTTTAGTTAAACTGATTCGACGTCTTTATGGTACTTTTCTTAAGAATATGGATTGTTGAGGACCTTCACAGACAAAAATTTAATTTTTATTAGAATAAATCATCTTTTCATAGCGAAATTGTACACAAAGATAGCGGACAATATATCTGAAGTAAAAAAAATATATTTAGTTATAATAGTTTCATTTATTTGGGCTTAAAAATAAAAAGTGCTGACTACTGGGACATGCCGAACTTAGGCAAACTTACCCTATATGTGTTTAATATGAAGGGATACTACGAAGTGATAGAATGAGAATCATGCAACTGTCTACCAATGCCAACTATTAGTAACATTTGGAAGCCAAAAACAAAAGAACTACCTCTTTCCATCCTAGACACCAACAGTGATCCAAAATTAGTACCAGTGATCTAAATTAGTACTTTTCGAACAATAATAGTTCGCATTTTCAAAACCACCTTCTTATCTTAATTCCAGATATCAATAACAAATTTAGTACTATTTAGTACTGCTAAAATACACATTTATAAAACCAACAGTGACATTAATATCAAATTTCAGGATTTCAGCCATATTTCTTAACCCAATACTAAATTAGATACTATTTAGTACTTTTCGTATATTTATAGTGCACAATTTCCAAAATCACTTTCATATCTCAATCCCAGATACCAACAAAGACCTGAATATAAAATTTGAGGATTCCAGGCCACATTTTCGAAAACACCAATACATGAATAGCGGCCTTAATACCAAATTTTAGATTTGAAGTACTATTTGTTCACCCAATAACAAATTGTACCAAATACAGTACTACTTTTCGTACTTTTCGTGCACTTGTAGTACACATTTCCAAACCCACCTCTTTATCACAAACCTACAACCAACAGGGATCTCAATACGAATACTTGGAAATTTCGTCTTCATCAGTTCACTCTAAACCAAACTGTTCCAAATCTAGTACACATTTCCAAAGCTATCTTCATATATCAAACTAACCTTCCATCCTTAATTGTCATATCAAATTTTTAGCTCTATCCGTTTATATAATATCAAATGGTACCATTTTTGAACTTTTCGTTAACTTAAAGTTCGAATTTCCAAGAATTTCCTTTGGTATCTTTATCCTACGCTCCATCGGTTACCCTCATTCCCAATTTTAGAATTCTAGCTCATTCCGTTTGTCCAATACAAAGTATTAGATTTTTAGTACATTTTAGTACTTTTCTTACCCTTTTGGTACGAATTTCCAAAAACCCTTACCTTCCAGCCTTATATCTCATACCAAATTTTTAGCTCTATCAGTTCCAAATGATACCATTTTGGAAATTTTGTAACATCTTAGAACTTTTCGTAACCTTAGTGTCCGAATCTCCAAGAATTTCCTTTGGTATATCTTTCTTGCACTCCATCGGTGACTTTCATTCCTAATTTTAGAATTCTACCTCATTCCGTTTGTCCAATACGAAGCATTAGATTTTTAGTACTTTTTAGTACCCTTTTGATACGTCTGGTCGTTGATTCTCGGTCAGTCAGTTTTTTTATTTATACATAGATGACATGTCATACCGTATATTCTATTATTCCATTGTTCTTTAGACACCATTTCTTCTGAAAATGCATACTCGCAATTCTTTTTTTTTTCATTTATTTATTTTGGTTAAGCTTTGTTGGTTTTTTTTTTTTTGCCCAAACATGACTCATAACAAAAATACTTAAAAACTAAAAATCTCCCAAAGACACGATTATGACAAAATTCTGCTTCTTCTCAAATTACAAGCCAAACAAGATAAGTTTTATTTTTTTCTGCAAAGTTTCTTGGCAAAATCTAAGTATTTTAATACAAAAAGCCACTGTAATTTAAAACTTCATTCATTTATTTAAATCTGCATTTTTATCTAGAAACAACAACAAGATGTTAACTAAAGATTTTTTCTTTGCTTCTCTCTTTGCAGATTTCGAAAAAAAACCAAATGGTGGAGGCCATACCCGAAACGGGGGCAAAGTGAACGAAAACAAAAAAATATATTTTAAAAATTTCAATCACGTACTAAATTGTAAATTTTAAAGCGTGAACATTCTCATATTATTTATTACCTTTTGGGTTTTTGAGTTTTTGTTTGGTTTTGAGTTTTGCTTTTACCATTTCCAAAACAGAAGAGGTGGAAAAAAAGTCTAAACTGTGCAATAAAACCCAATTAAAATTAATTAAAATTTAATTCACAGAAATTTAAAAAGGCAAGCATATATAAATTCAAATACATATAACAAAACCGTAACAACAATAATAATAAACATAAAACCTTTAAAATGTCATTACATTTAAATAAATTAAGGCAGCAGCAGAGGCAACAACAAATCCAAGGAAATTGTTGTTTTACAACATTACCACATCAAAATAACAACAACAAAAATAGCTACTCTAAAGAAGTGTGAAAAATTAATAATAAAAAAATATCATATTAACAACAACAACAAAAGCACAAAGTATAACAAAGCAGAAGTGAAGAAGAAGAAGCAATAGCAATAAAACGTGAAAAATATATTTAAGAAAGCAAAAACACAATAACAACAAAAACAACAACCACAAAGCGGCAAAAAATGCGAAATCATTATCATCATCATCACCACCACAAACATCATCACCAGCAACCGCATTATCAAGAGAACAGCAGCAATCGCACAATTGCAAATACAATTAACAACAACAATCACAATCACAACAACAGCACTAGTAGTGGTAGCAATCATCAAAATACTAGCAGCCACAATTCCACTAATCGTTATCAATTTGGTTTACATCCGGTCATGGCGGCCGCCACCACAGCTACCACAAATCTGGCCGGCACCAATTCAACGCCCTCTCTTAACAACACTAACAACATGAACAACAACAATAGCAACATCAGCAACAATACTAGTGCTGGTGTTGTTGGTGGTGTCTCCACAGAGTGTCCTTCACTTGCCAATAAAACATCATCACAACAAAGTAACTCTCCAACTACCACAACAACAACCTCCGCTTCATCAGCTGCGGTAACAGGCTCAACAACAATGGCCAACAACACCAGTAATAATAATAATAATAACAATAACAACAATGTAAATTTAGTTAATCCCGCGGATAATGAAAATATCGATATAATTAATAATAACAATAAAAACAACAATGTCACAAATACCAACATAAATTTAAATACAAATAATAATAATAACAGCAATAACAACAACAACAACGGAAACGGCAATAATGAATGTCGAAAATTATTGAATAAATCCTTTAAGGATAGTCTGAATTTTAATGAATTAACCCAACATCGGAGTAGCAGTAGCAGCAGTAAGCGATTATCCCCCAGCACCGAATCGAGTAATATGAGTTTTTCTTCAGCCTCGGTGGCCGGTTCAATACAGGTGAGTGAGAGCAAGTTTTCCTTATAAATAAGTTTTTCCTTATAAATTGCTCTATGATAAAGTTCTCTATGCGAAAACATCCCATGGGTCACAGAATATTTTGTTACGAAGTTTTCTATGAGAAAACTTCCTTTATGAGGTGTTCTATGAGAAAACTTCCCTTACAAAGTGTTCTCTAAGAAAACTTCCCTTAAGAAGTTTGCTATGAGGCTACTTTCAAAGTTCTCTAGAGGAACCCCTTACTTTAAAAACACTTCTTGAATGAAAAATATATTTAAAAAAGCTTCCCCCCAGATTTTCCGCAGAAATATTCCACATAAATTCTTCTATAAGAAAGCCTTATACATTTTTTTCTCTGAATTGCTTCAAATTTCGCATTTGAAGCTCGTACTACAACCCGTGACGGAAAATTGTCCATGCGGGTCTGCGTCTTCGTATAAATTCCCTACAATGGTACCTCCCTCTATTCGGTATTTTGATGATATTAGCGACATTATTCACCAGAATTGCTTCAAATTTCGTATTTAAAGTTCGTAATGGGTACAACAGCCGATGACAAAAAAATAACTTATGCAGAACCACATCTTTGTATAGTCCCATATTACGGATTTTCTTTGAGTGGTATTTGTTGCGAATTTCTTCTTTGGAAATTTTTCAAGTTCCTTCAAAATGGTGGAGGGTAATAAAAGTTCGGTTCGGCGGAACTTATCAGCTTTTTTATTTGTATTTTATAACGTTACTTCCCCACTAAGGTTTCTAATTGAAACCATCTCATAAAGTTTACTTTAAGAAAACTTCTCTATCCTCGTCTTCACTAGGAAAACGTTCGATGGTTTCTGTAGCAAAACTTCTCAGGGTGCTTCCTATAAGAAATCTCGGCAATAAAGTGTTCATATGAAAGCTTGTTCGTTTGATTTGAAGTTAGGCCTCCTCGTGAAATTCTCTAAAGTTAAGCTTCCTCATGGATTTTTTAAAACGAAAACTTCCTATGGAGCTTTCTAAGAGATATGCAAATCACCGAGTCTTCTAAATGAAAATATTCCCAGCTCTACATTGGTAGAAAGCTACCTAATCGGCCTTTTTAAAGGAAAACATTCTCATCCTAACGTTATTAGACTCAGGAATCCATACAGGTCATCGGGGTTATCTTCCTCTTCTAAAAAGTACAGACTTCCCTTACAGAATCCCCAGGCTTGCGAAATATCCTGCGACCACGCTCATCCTGTTATTCGAGCTCCCCTTGTCGACTTCTCACCAGAGATTTTTCGGACAGCCACAACATTTCAACTTTGTTCTTCTGTTGAACATTTGAACCTTTGAAACTTTGTGCTGCTAAAAGGAACGTTTGCGGTGCGCTTTAATATTATATTTTGCAATTCAGTCGATTTTAGAAAAGTGCAAACAAATATCTACATTCGATCATAGTATTCTTTCTCGGGTCGGTTTGTTTCTTAGGAAACAAAAATTGTTGTATATATATATATATATATATATATATATATATATATATATATATATATATATATTTTTTTTTTAAATCAAAGAAAAAAAAAATAAAAATTTGGCGGTTGGCAATGTTAATAATTTAATTTGTTCCAAGTTACATCAATTTTTGAATATGATATCTCTCAAATGGCCACCTCTGGCGTTGATGACGTATTGTGCCCTTTTTGCTGCATTTTCCATGGTTTTTGCCAACATTTCGGCCGGAATAGCGGCTATTTCTTCAAGAATGTTGTCCTTGAGCTCTTCTACGGTCCTTGGCTTGTTAACGTAAACCCTTGACTTCAAATATCCCCACAAGAAGAAGTCAGGCGGCATCAAATCGGGCGAACGCGGTGGCCAGTCCAAATCACCACTTTTCGACATCAAACGGCCCGGAAACAAATTCTTCAGAAAATCGATTGTTATGCGACTTGTGTGCGATGGAGCGCCGTCTTGTTGAAACCAGAACTGCCTCATACGCTTTCGACGAATAATTGGCATCACAAAATTGGTCATCATGTCGCGATAACGCTCCTGATTGATGGTAACAGCCATTTTCATTTTGGAAGAAAAACGGCCCAAAGACCGTTTTCGCACTAACGCCGCACCAAACTGTGACTTTTTCGTCATGAAGAGGCACTTCTTGAATCTCTTGAGGATTTTCAGTGGCGTAAAAACGGCTATTTTGCTTATTTACGGTCCCATTCAATGTGAAATGGGCTTCATCGGACATGATAATTTTGTTCCAAAATTGCTCGTCATCTTCGGCCATTTCGATGACTCTTTGGGCCCATTCCAATCGACGAGGCTTGTCCACAGGCAACATTCTTTGCGTTAATTGAATTTTGTACGGGAACAAATGCAAATCAATGCGAATAATCCGTTGTAAAGTGGACCGAGCCATGCCCGACTGCTGAGAACTGCGTTTTTGGGATGTTCTTAGGGACCTGGCTCGTACGGCAGCGATATTCTCGGCCGATCGCCTTGGTCGACTTTTATATGGCCTCTTCGGATTAGAAAGAGCCTTACCAGTCGAAAATTTTTCATATAAACGCTTAATGGTGTTCTTAGAAGGCGCACTTCTCACATTTTTTTATTTTTTTAAAAGCATGTTGAGTTTTCACAATTGACTTCTTCTGTTGAATGTAAATTTCAAGTATTTCAGAGCTCTCGCGTGGCGTGTTTTGGTTCATGGTAAAAATCTGCTTGGACTGACGCTTCAAACGCGGTTTGTCATTAAGCGATGTGACATCTCTGTCAAAAGTTATGGCGTTGCCAGATGGGTCCGTCGAATATGGGCAACCCTGTACTTTATAATCTGCCTTATTGGCAAGTTAGCTATTTGCATAGATTTTCTATGTCCAGAGTCCCAATCCTTCGATGATTGAAGAGAAGTTTGTTATACAGGTGTTAACGAAGTTTGTCATATCTCTAGAATCGAACGTTTTTTTTTTCTAGGAAACTAAGAGAGCTAGCCACAAGATAGTTATCTATCCGTCTGAAGTCGTTGAATTTATAATCTGTTTTATCGGCATCATCTGAATGAAGTGACCTTAGGCATACACTGAAGATTAGAATTGTCCTTCCTCACACCAAACAGGAAAAACATATGCGATTAGTGGTCTAACAATCCCTTTGTAGATAAGTAATCTGATCTTAAAAATTAACGCTAATGGCACTCTGGAAGGTCCAACATGTGCCCATGTTTTTCTTTAATATTCAAAACTGGTTTGCAAAGCCTAGATATTTACTCTTGTCTGAATTTTGTTTTTAACCTTGTGCGGGTCGTACCGTGAAAAGTTTAATATACGTCCCAATTTTTATAGTTTGAATATGCCTTTCAAAAAATGGCAATACAATATTATCGATATTGATCGTGTCTCAAATTCGTTGGACTTTAAGAAGTGCTACGGAGAAACTATTCCTTTTTGTCTTTGAAGAGAATCTTCAATTTTCTTATAAAAAAAAAAAACTTTTTTGGAAATATGTGTTGAAGAAATAGTCTTTCTGCAGTCCTTTTCATTATATATTTCGAAGTACCAAACTTCGATTGCCATAATTTCCCACTGTTTACAAATTCCAAAGACATTACGCTATTGCATTGGAATTTTCCATTTAATTATTGTATTTAAACTCAGATATTTGTTAATATCGTTATTATACATTTTATGGGGTGTTTCGAAATGAAATAATAATGATAAAAAACAGAGAGGGAAAAAGAAAAATGCAAAAGAATGTGAATGTTTTGCAAAACAACTGTTTTTTTTCTTCTTTTGTTTCTAAAAATATTTCACCGTTGCTGGAGTCAAATAAAAGAAAGGCAAATAAAATGTACCACAAAAATGATGAGTTAAGGTGTGAGTATTTTTATACCCTCCACCATACTATGGAGGGTATATTAATTTTGTCATTCCGTTTGTAACTCCTCGAAATACTCACGTCAGACCCAACAAAGTATATATATTCTTGATCAGCGTAAAATTCTAAGACGATTTAGCCATGTCCGTCTGTCTGTCTGTGTGTCTGTCTGTCCGTCTGTCTGTCTGTCTGTTGTAATCACGCTATCTTTCGAACGAATTGAGATAGAAGGCTAAAATTTTGCACACATGTATATTTTTCCAGTAGGCAGGTTAAGTTCGTAAATGGGTCATGTAGGTCCAAGTTTTCATATAGCCCCCATATAACGGTACCTCTCGATATTCGGTATTTTGATGATTTTAGCGACATTATTCACCGGAATTGTTTCAAATTTGGCATTTGAAGTTCGTAAAAGATACTGCAGCAGAAAACAGAAAATGGACCATGTAGGTCCACGTCTTCGTATAGCCCCCATATAACGGTACCCCCCAATATTCGGTATTTTGATGATTTTAGCGACATTATTTAACGGAACCGTTCCAAATTTGGTATTTGAAGTTCGTAAAAGATACTGCAGCAGAAAACAGAAAATGGACCATGTAGGTCCACGTCTTCGTATAGCCCCCATATACCGTACCCCCCGATATTCGGTATTTTGATGATTTTAGCGACATTATTTAACGGAACCGTTCCAAATTTGGTATTTGAAGTTCGTAATAGATACTGCAGCAGAAAACAGAAAATGGACCATGTAGGTCCACGTCTTCGTATAGGCCCCATATACCGTACCCCCCGATATTCGGTATTTTGATGATTTTAGCGACATTATTTACCGGGATTGTTTTAAATTTCGCATTTGAAGTTCGTAATGGATACTTCAGCCCATGCCAGAAAATTGTCTGTGCAGGTCCACGTCTTGGTATAGCCCCCATATAACGGAACCCCCTATATTCGGTATTTTGATGATTTTAGCTACATTATAAACAAATTTTTCTTCATGTTTCGCATTTAAATGTTGTAATAACTTATGACAAAAGTTGCCTATGCATGTATACGTCGTCGTATAGACATTCGGTATTTTTAAGATTTTAACAGAATTTTTAAAGGATTTTTTTTATTTTATTTTTTTATTTATTTATTTATTTTATTTTTTTTTT